GTTTATGTTTCTGGTAGGCTGTATCTTCAGGGTATGCCTTTGCCCAAAATCATGTCTCTGAACTCTTCCCAAAGGCAGAACCTCAAATGTGCACAGGAATGGCATGAGGAAAAAGACTACTCTGCTTCCTCTAAAAAGAAACAAAAACAGAGCCCGTGGCATGAGTCATAGTACTCATGGACTGAGGCAGTAGTATGTGAGTTCCCAGCATGCATTTGAAGAGAGTCTATCAAGTGCTGGCTAGTGTGAGATGTTAGTTGCTGTGAGTTTGACTTGATTGTTTTGTTACTTGCTTGGTGTTACTTGCCTTGTGTGTTTGATTCTCCAAGCAGCAGTTGGAGAGGCCTAGTTACACATCTAAATGTGTGGATACAAAGACTGAGACTGATCCCTGCTCCTTTTTTCCTCTCTGAGAGGACACACCTGCATGCATTTGTTCAGCATCCAATTGATGGAGTTCTCCCACTCTCACTCAGTCTCTCTGTCTCTCTAAGTATCTCTTTCTCTCACTCTGTCTCTCACAAGCGAATGTGTTGTGTATTTTTCTATGTGTTTGTACATGTATATCCCACTATTCCCTGCAATCCTGGATCTGTGGTTGGACATGAGGATTTCCCTATTTCACAGTTCCCAGGTGATACCTTGGTGAAAATTGGGAGCACTACTTAGAGCATTATTGTTCTGCCAGTGTACTTATTTTAGTGTCACATAGATATTCCTTTGGGGAGTTTATAAATCTGTCATGATGTTGAGTCTTATTCTCAAAACTGTTCATGATGTTATTTTTGTCTCCATTGACACAGGTATGATCATGGAGAATTCATTTTTGAATACAGGAGAAACATCTTCACAGATTCTGGAGGGTACACACCTGAGGAGTAGGTGCTAAGTAAATTCTTAGACAGCTATTTCAGCAAACCTACTGAGAGAGCTCATGCACCACCACCTCTCATCATCTAAACAGCCTGCCTCTGCTGGCCTAGAGTCAGAATAGCTGTAACTAAATTGTATGCCACTTTTTGGTTTGTTCTTGGCTTTTGGCAACAACGATGTAGGTAAATGTGTTGCAACAACTCTGGGGAAAGGTCTCCTGACTACCTGTGTGTCAGGCAACATCTTGAGCTGCTTAAGATAGCTCTGATGGCAGGAACTGCAAGGAGACAATTTATCCCTGGAGTGCAAGGTATCCCACACACCTCAAGCTTCTCAGAAGAGCAGCTCTGCCCTGAAGGTGTCCTGAACAACTGGAGCTGTTTAGCACAGCTCTGATGGCTGGAATGGCAAGGGGACTGTTTATCCCTGGAGGGTGAGGTATCCTGGACACCTCAAGCTGCTCACAACAGCTCTTCCCTGATGAGGTAAGATAAACAACTGATTGCTGATTATTCTACTTTATTACATTTCTACCAGATACATGAAAATATGGCGTTGAATACACACATAAAGTGTTTATTGTTTCTTATATACTTATGTATTAAGCATTTTAAAATTACCATTGTTGTGTTGACAAAACAGCACACATTGGGAGTAGATTATCTACACTTGGACTACTCTGGAGGTAGAAGCTTGAGGACCGTGAGTTCAAATGTATTCTTGAATCATTACTGAAATCAATGGCAGGCTTAATATCAACAACAAAATCTCAAAGCAATTTGTGAAAACATGAAATCAAATCCAAACACCACAACCCACCACCCTTTTCACAGACACTCTTACTCAGAAAGTATGATCATACACTGCCTGATATTTAAATAAACAATAGACTGGTAAGATGATAGATTTCCCATTCTATGTATTACAGCAGAAAAAATACATGTCACTAAGTAAAAACACAATGGAAGATGAAAAAAGCCACAAAATAAATATAAACACCACAAAAATAAATTTAGCTAAATGAATATGCCATACATATAGCACACTTTGGTATCCACCTTAAATGTTTCAAAATCGAAATGCAAATGCACTGATCTCCCCCATCAGTCTTGACTAAACATAATAACTAATTTACTTCCTTCAAGCCTATGATGAAAAAATAATGAAGTAAGATTTTTTTCTTTAAGCTGAAGACAAATGTGATGTCTAAAATCAGTAACAAGTTGTTTACATGAATAAATGTTTTCTCTTGTTTGAGTTTGTCCCTATTTCCTGACTTTAACATGATATAAATAGGCTTTAAAATATTTTCACAGCTAGAGACATGGTTGGACAGTTAAGAAAAGTTCATCCCCAGGAATAAGACCTGATTTTGACAACTTCATTTAGTTCTTGATACAAGAAGATCTGAGAGCCTAACATTTTCAGAAACTAGAATGCAAATTCAAATAACCCCAAAAAACATGTACTGACATTACATTATTAAAATTAAAACAACTCTTCAAAAAAACAATTTTTCATTTATGAAACTTATTCATTTGTAAGCATGCATTTCTGTAACACGGGTATGGAGACATTTAAAAATTTACAAAGATTTTTTTCATTGTGAATTGGTTCATATAACATAAAGCAAGCATGTACACTTGAAGTCAAAAAATCGTTTTCAGTTGGTGGCATCATTTGTGAAGGTTTAGGAAATGCTGTTCTGCTGAGGAAATATGTCACTGGGGGCAGGATTTGATAAATTACATCCACCCATCATTTTTAGTTCCCACTCTCTGCTTCATGATGAAAGTAAAGGATGTGAGCTCTCAATTTAGCTGCCATGTCTGACACTTGATGCCATGCCACTTACATGTTGATCCTGGGACCAAATAAAACTCATAATAAGTTAAGATAGACACTACATAACAACAACAGAAAAAGAACTAATACAAATCTATAAAGTTTTATACCTGAATTAGATATTTCATGTAATTAAAGAGGAGTTTAAAATCTAAAACCACTACATTATTATTTAAATTCATAGTTGAAGAGTTTAGCTCTGGAAGGAATAATTCCATGAATATCAAAAGTTTAGCTACACCTATAGTTGGGAGTGGAAGGTATCCTGCATATACACAATTGAGAGGAGAAAAATATCCTGGCTGTTGGGGATTCAGGCAATACATGAAGCTGTGGAGGAAAGGTTTCCAGGATACCTACCAGTTTCAAAAAAAGCTGTGAAAGGAAGCTCAATACCTAAAGCTGTGAGGAAATTGGAATACTGACTGTTAGAAAGTTAGGCTTGTTCTGAATATTTGTCCCAGTGTGAGATTGTTTATTTGAAGGATGTGGCAAACCTGCTCCTCTCCAAAAAAGAGCCATTGCAGCTTTCTGTGCTACACTCATCTAAGAGAGATTTCCAGCAGAGATGTGCTTTTGCTGCTCTGCTCCACTCCCCTAAGAAAATTTCCAAGCAGAGATGTCCATTATTTCTCTGTTCTACTCCACTAGTGAGCTTCCTATCAGAAATGCCTATTGCTTCTTTGCTTGATTCCACTAGGAAGATTCACAGCAGAGATTCTGCTCTGCTCTGGAAAAAGATCTTCACCCAAATCTATTTCAAGAGATTTATATAGGGGAGAGAAATCCAGAATAGTGCCTGCCTGCCTGTGTCAGTGTGAAAAAGGGCAGCTGCCAGGTGAACAGACACAGGGCTTCTATGGGGCTTCATAATGGTGGAGATTTCCAGGGAAAAGATTTTGAGGATAGGTATTGATTGGATGTCAGGCTCAAGCTCAGAGATTGGGAGGCTTTCATGTGCAGTAATTGGTTAGTTTTGTGCTCATGGATGGGTTGGTTTTTCTACTCATGGATTGGTTGGTTTTGTCCTCAGTTGGTCAGAGGTACAGTGTATTTCTTTGGCTCTGGTTTCAGTGCCAAGTTGAATGTTTTTCAATGGCTGTGGTTTTAGTTTCCAGGTGTTTCTTTGGCTTTTACCCTACACAGAGGACTTTATAAACTACTAAATTCATTTATTCCATGGTTTTACAGGTTGCAAACATTGTGAAAATGGACATCATGATGCATGAACTGATTGCTGACACTGTCAAATTGATTTTTTACAGAATGAACACCATTTGGTAAATGAGTGCAAATGTTTTAGATAAGGATCTTGTCAAATAATTTATAATAATAAACCCTCAGTACTTTTTGCAGGTACTCAAATACTATTGTAATATGGAAAGTCTTTAAGAGATTGACTGCAGATAAAAAAGTTTATTCATGTATAAAGAGCAAAACTGTATGACATTGACTATATTTGTAGGGTTTCTCTGCAGTATGATTTTTTTCTAATGATTTCAATGACTCCTGATACATACAAAGGCTTTATCACACAGATTACATTCACAGGGTTTCTCTACAGTAGGTGTTGTTTCATGCATTTGAAGAGTACTATGTGTGAAGAAAGTCCCCACCGCATTGATTAAATTCATTGTGTTTCTCTCTATTATGTGATCTTTTATGCATTTGAAGATGACTCTGATGACGAAAAACTTGACCATGTTAATTATGGTCATAGGCTTTTGCTCCACCATGTCTTCTTGTATGTATTTGAAGAGTAGTGTGATAAGCATAGAATTTACCACATTGATTACATTCTAGAGTTTATCTCCAGTATGTAGTCTTTTATGCATTTGAAGAGGTTGGTGATGTGCAAAGGCTTTACCATATTGATTACATTCATATGGTTTCTCTTTTGTATGTGTTCTTTTATGTACTTGAAGATGACCGTGTTGTGCAAAGGCTTTAGCACGTTGATTACATTCATAGGGCTTCCCACCAGTATGAGTTCTTGTGTGCCTTTGAAGATGACTCAATCCTGCAAAGGCTTTACCACATTGATTACATTCATAGGTTTTCTCTCTAGTATGGATTCTTTTCTGTATTTGAAGAGTACCGTGTTTGGCAAAGGCTTTATCACACTGATTACATTCATAGGTTTTTGCACCAGTATGTGTTCTTTCATGCTTTTGACGAGTACTGTGTTGCCCAAAGGCTTTAGCACATTGTTTACATTCATAGGGTTTCTCTCCAGTATGTGTACTTTTATGATTTTGAAGATTATCATGTCGTTCAAAGTTTTTACCACATTGATTACATTCATAGGGTTTCTCTCCAGTATGTTTTCTTTTATGCCTTTGAAGATCACTGTGATGTGCAAAGGCTTTAAAACACTGATTACATTGAAAGCGTTTCTCTCCCATAGGTGCACTTTCATGCCTTTGAAGATGACTCTCATATGCAACAGTTTTACCACATTTAGTATTTATGAAAGGTTTCTTCTCTTCAGTTTGGCTTCTTTCATGCCTACAAGCACATGTAAAATCTTTACCATAATCATTATACTGTTGATTCTGTATGAGTTAAATTTACAATTTGGGCTATTTTTTTTTTTTTTTTGGTTTT